GAGCGCCGCCGCGCTTCCCAAGCGGCGCACTATCCAGTGCGCCACCGGGCCGGCCCAGGCTTTTCTATTTCTTATTCCTCTTTTACCTAATTATTTATTCAAAGATGGAATTTGCTGTGTGAACATGAGGGTACTTCCAATGGTTCATGGAAAAAGTCATATTATCTTTCAATTCTGTTTCTCCACAGACTTTTTCAAGTACCCTCATAGTTTAAAATCTCAAATTATCAAAGTTCAGTCAATGCTCCTTAATACTCTTAATTGCTTTTTAAAAAATATATTTAATACCAGTCAAAAGTTTCTTGCAAAGAACAGTAAATGGGTTTACCACAGGCCCACTGAACCAAATTTTCTACTTTTTTGTTTTCCCTAAACTAACATAATTTTTTAGAGGAAATGTCACCAACATTATCAACTTATCTCTTTATTATCTTTTGTGGTCTGTAGGTAACAGACTTCTAATTACAGGCAGTTCCTATTTCTTCAGGCTTTGGGTCTGGTCACCCCCAGGACTGTTAGTGGAGACGCTCAGTGCTCACCCAACCTGCAGGAGAGACGCATTTGCACAGAATCCTGCTTCCCTTGGGATGAGCTGGTGGGCGATGTTGCCTCCTCTCTTTCCTCCCTGCTTACTGTCGCTGCACAGGTGTTACCTGGATGGGACAGGGAAAGATACTGCAGCAAGCCCTCTGATGGTCCAGGCTATGGTGCTCTGTGAGGAGCCTCACAGAGTATGGACTGAGGGTTTGGGATACAGGAAAGGGCTGAGGGACGCACATGATGACAGAGAATCTCCTTTCTCTTCTCTAATTTATGATTGGTGTAGTTTATTTTTTTTTGCCTTAGAAGATTTATCATTTTACCGTCCTATATCTTAATTTATCTTGGTAGAATTAGGAAGTATGTGTGCTCTCTTCTCAAAGATGTCTTATTTTATAGGCAAACTCAGACCATCACAGTGAACCCCATCAGGAGGAGGTCTTCTTCAAGGATGTCTCTGGTAAGAAAGAAGGAAAATACGATTACTTTCTTTTTTTAGTGAGGTCATTTTCCTTAATAAAATACACTTTTGGTGGTGTTAAAGTTTGAACCATAAAAGTATGCTGATATTTGATGATTTTTAGCCAAAGACAAGGTGATTTTCTAATATTTATATTATTACATTACACATATTTAAATATTAGGTCCAACCTAATATTAACGAGTTCGATTATTAACCAAGAATAATTATAAGTTGGTACATATTTAAAATGCTAGATGACTTTGTCTAATAAGATTGAATATACTGCATATAAGTGCCTTCTATTCAAATGTTTATACAAGGAAATTTGTGTCTATTCCTTCTTGCTCTTAACTTTTTGGATGCAGATTTTCTTGTGCTGTCTAATGTCCTTGGTATCAGTGCATAGGGCTTGGTATTGCCATTAGGAGAGACGTTGAAAATGATAGATCTGGTTGGATCTACTGTGTCTTCATGTTTATTTTCCATATATAATACATTTGACTCCACTTTAGAAGTTTTTTAATGAAGGGAAAGAATCCAGCAGAGAATTACTTTACCTGTACCACATAGGCAATGTGTTTTAGTCCTGTGTCTAACTTTCCATTTCTTAGCCTAAGCCCCAGTCCTATGGGATGCCCCCCCCACCCCAGCTGCATTACAATGGACATTATCCAGAACCGTATGCTTCTTCCCAAGGTAAAGTACACTATTTCTGCAATGCCTTACACAGTTATTACTATGAATAAATCTATAACGATTTGGAGATCCCAAAGCCTGGATATATTTTGGCTAAACTTACACCCCAGATTGTTGTCATGATTATAGCCATCCTGGATTCATAGTAGCCATTATATTCAAGTTCTTGGATGTATGTAGAAAACATGCGTTATCAAATTTTGATACTCAGATGATCATAAATTTGGCCAGTGAGAACTCCTTCAAGCTGGTTTTTATGTCCTTTTAATACTACCCCTTTAGCCTTAATTGC